ATAAAATTATATAAATACAGACTAATTTCTGGCTGGGTATGGAAGCCCATGCCTGGAATCCTAGAAATCTTCAAGGCTAGGGGTGAGGACTGCTTGAGCTCAGGAGTTTGGGCCCAGTCTGAGCAAGACTGAGACCCCATCTCCACTAAAAAATAGAAAAATTAGCCAGACGTGATACATGCCTATAGTCCCAGCCACTTGGGAGGGTAAGGCAAGAGGACTGCTTGAACTCAGGAGTTTAAGGTTGCTGAGAGCTGTGAGGATGCCATTCCAGCTGGGTGACATAGTAAGACTATCTAAATAGAAGTAAAAAATAAATAAATGCAAAAATAATTTCATCACACTCTCAAAAAGACAATAAAAACAAAATCATGGTACACTTAATAAATCTAAGTGGAAAGCAAAATACTGACCTATTCTGTAAAAATTTAGGGTCTTATTTATAAAAATTAACGAAGTATTTTTCAATCTTCTTGGTATAAACATTAATTACTAGAAAACTAAACCTGTTTCTACTTTAAGAAATAGAGATTTTTTTTTTTTTTTTGAGACAGAGCCTCAAGATGTCACCCTGGGTAGAGTGCCATGGCATCACAGCTCACAGCAACCTCCAGCTCCTAGGCTCAAGCAAGTCTCCTGCCTCAGCCTCCCAACTAGCTGGGACCACAGGCACCTGCCACAATGCCCGGCTACTTTTTGGTTGCAGCCATCATTGTTGTTTGGTGGGCTCGGGCTGGATTCGAACCCACCACCCTAGGTGTATGTGGCTGGCACTTTAGCCACTTGAGCCACAGGCATCGAGCTGAGAAACAGAGATTTAATAAAATAGCATTTAGAGCATTTTGAGTGCCAGACTTTATGTTCTTTAAGGAAAAGAACAATCTACTTTATTTGTATATATCTGAAGCCTAGAAGAATATCTTTCACATAGTTGTTTAAACTAAACCTCAGCTAAGCTAGTGATAACCAGTAATATTTAAGCCTCAAACCTGAAATTTCCTCAAATCTGTTTCTTAGTTCCCCTCCTAGAAAACATGCAAAAAAATTTACTGTGGTCCAGTGGGTAATAATTTTCCTAATAAAGTTATATTGTGCACTTTCCCTACTTTTTAAGTAAAGGGTACCAAATGAGATTGACTATTTCCAGTTACTCAGGGATCATCATGAACTTGCTTCAACAGATTGTAATTCTTTGACCTCCTTAATGTTAGTGCTGAATATGACTTCCTCTCTCTGTGTTTACTACCAGTAGACTGTGTAAGAATTCAGAGAAACAACTGTCATAAAAAGTACACAGGTTAGACACAATTGTAAGAGGGACTTCACCTAACAAGTGCAATCAGGGTAACCTGGTTCTCTGTACCCTCAATGAATCCCCAACAATAAAAAAAAAAGTACACAGTTTTAACGGTGAAGCTTTGTGACATTTATTGTGTTGGTAAAAAGGCATGTTTCCTTCTCTTAGAAGAAGTTATGTTCCATAACAGTTGACCTTTTTCTACCTGACATATTACCACTATACATGTTTACTTAAGCTGAGAGGTAAGTTGAATTTATTTATTACATTAGAAAATATTTTTGGTGGGGCTGGTAAAATCTTCTGTGTGGTATGAAACTTGTTTTGAGTACAATATACTAGAAAACAGAAGCCAAAATATTGGAACTTAAAAGTGAATATTATGTTTCAATGGCATCATTTTAAAGTCAATCTACGTTACATGGGCTAGGAGATTTTTTTAATATTGGAAGGCATAATTTACCAGTAAAATTAAAAACAAAAACAATTTTGAATTTAGAACAGTTGGGGCAAAAGCATACTTTTTAGTGTCCCTGCCAACTTACACCAACACAAAGAAAAGATTGGCCTAAATTAGCATTTTTCAAATTATAGGTCTTGACTTTCTACTAGGCAGTAAAATCGTTTAGTGAACCCAACTGAATTTTATTTTTTAAATAAAAACTAATTTCAAGTATTTCAGGATAGGTAACATACATAAGTACTGTTTCATGAAACTTTATTGTAAGGCTGTGTACACACACTGGGGCATAAGTAAAAACAAATTTCTTACTGTGAGCTGCAGTCAAAAAGGTTTGAAACTCCCTCATATAGAAAATTCTTAATGTTCTGTAGATTGTAAGAAAAGAGACTGATGCCTTTCTACATACTGCAACATTCATATTCTACAAGATACCTTTACAAAGTCAAAGTCATTAGCTTCCAGGTTCTTGAATGGGGCTATTTCCAATGAAGTTTAATGCTGTGTCTGGCTCATGTTTAGTACTAAAAATAATAAAATGAAAATCAATGGGCGGTGCCTGTGGCTCAAAAGGGTAGGGCGCTGGCCCCATATGCCAGAGGTGGTAGGTTCAAACCCAGCCCCGGCCAAAAAAAAAAAAAAGGAAAATCAATTAATTTGGGCCAGGCACCGTGGCTCATGCCTGTAATCCTAGCATGGTAGGAGGCTGAGGCAGGTGTATTGCTTTAGCTCAGGAGTTTGAGACCAGTCTGAGTAAGAGAAAGACCTCGTCTCTACTAAAAATAAACAAACTAGGCATCATGGCGGACACCTGTAGTCCCAGCTACTTAGGAGGCTGAGGAAAGAGGATTGCTTTAACCCAAGAGTATGAGGTTGCTGTGACGATACCACAGCACTCTATCCAGGGCAACAAACTCTGTCTCAAAAAACAAAATAACAAAAAAAAGAAAGAAAATCAATTAATTTAACAGAATTAAATTAAATTAAAATAAAATAATTTTTTCCCAGTACATTAAGAACACCTGAAAAACCTTTATGTCCAACTACTTCTGATGCTTGCTCTTGGCTTGAAATAAAGCTTCTTTTATAAAATAAGCTTTACTTTTTAATGAACTATATTTAATTCAAAGCTACCTAAATATTTAATGGTCAATTGCAATGTCAGTCTACAAAAGGTACTCCTAAAATATTCTCTGGTTGCCTCTGTGTATTAAAGTTTATGTCAAAATGAAAGATCAAATCTAAGTTCATATTTTTTGGATACTGTTAGGGATTCATGTTCCAATCAAATCTCAATTATTTCACATCCTAATACACCAGAGGCTCTATTTCAACCCACCTACCACTAAAAATATCACCTAATGCCAAAAATAAAGCTTTTGGATGAATTTTTTTGCGCAACAAAAGAAAAACTCTCTGTAATTGTTATCAGCCTACTAGGAATTTCATAGTATTTACAGAGACTTGCGTTGCACTTGAAAAATAACTGTGATGGAAAATTATAAGAAGAATTTTTGTGTTCAGCGCCACCTAGTGACAGATCTTTGAGTACACTCCTTTACTATCTGTTGCTTCCAGCATTCTAGGCACTGTACTAAAAGCTCAGCACGTAAGATCCGCATAAAATATAAACTCTACTTCCAAGAAGCTAAAGTTAGAAAAGACATACCCATGGGTTTTTAGCTAAGATCAAACAGAAGAAATTAAAACATTAATAGGGAGTAAAAAGAATCTACAATAAATAAATAGAAAATTTCAGTACTTCTGAGGTTTCTTCTGGCCTTATGAAGAAACTTTCACATCACAAGCTTTTTCCAACACAGCACTAAAAATTGGTTTTAATAAGCAATCACTTCATGGTATACTTTTTTTTTTTTTTTTTAGATGGAGCCTCAAGCTATCCCCCTGGGCAGAGTGCCATGGCATCACGCTCACAGCAACCTCCAAATCCTGGGCTCAAGAGACTCTCCTGCCTCAGCCTCCCAAGTAGCTGAGACCACAGGCGCCCGCCACAACGCCCAATGGTTGCAGCCATCATTGTTGTTTGGCAGGCCCGGGCTGGGGATTCGAACCCGCCACCTTAGGTGTATGTGGCTGGCGCCTTAGCAGCTTGAGCCACAGGCGCCGAGCCACTTTATGGTATACTTAACATCATTTAAAACATTTGAAATCAATATAGAAATAGTCAAACTAGGAAGTGCCTAAGATCAGACATTGATATTAGTTTAACAAGATCTGTAAATGGAAGCCTTATCTAAAAGATAAAGAATTACCTAATAATGTTGTTAATGTAGTCTGATTAATTTAATTGAAAGTAACAAGTCTCTTTTAATACAGTGTGTATACAAGTATTCATTTTTCTATTATTTAAACTGCACATGTATACATTATGGATACTTTCACTGTGTATGCTGTGCTTCAAAACACAAAAAGGTAAAAGTTAAAACAAAAAAGAAAACAGCATCGCACAGGTACTGGGTAGTTTTGAAGCCTGGCCTCTTCTAACTTTCTAGCTATAGAGTAGGTTTTGGCAATTCTACCAGCGTGAGACAACTGAAACTTCACTTTCATGTCCAACCAAAATTTATATAGACTTTAAAAACCACACCTCTAGAGCAGCAGTGGAGATACATAGTGAGGGAGGTCCTCAGGTGAACTTTTTCACTACTGAAATGCCAGGTTAAAAAACCCTTGCCAAGCCAGTTTTCCTGCCACCTGCATGCTTATTTATTCTGGGCAGGAAAGGAATTGGTGGATTACTTGTAATAATACTACAGTTTTAAAAGAGAAAACCATAAATATAAATTCACTGATGATTTTGTTACCTACTTTAGATAAAATATTATATATTTTACATAAAATAATTAAAGTATTTTTGTCCAGTGGCAGAATCTTGGTCTGATCTAGAAATGGAAACTTAACTTCAGCCTGTAGTTTTATACCTGGATCCTTCCAGTACCAATACAATACCTACATCTACTCTAGAAGCTACCTAGAAGCTACATTGACACTGAAATTTCTCTTGGAACTAAGTTAACTTTGTCCCACTACGGTTTATTTCTCCAAAGTAGGTTAAATCACAAACAATTCAAAATGCCCAATAAGCACCTAAAAATTCTTAGAACCAATAATAGTTATTTATATCCTCATCGACTTGTTCATTTACTAAATTTCAAACTTTTTCTGAAACAAAGGAGAATTTAAATCGACTAAACAAATGGTAAACAAAAAAATAAAAGAAACACTACCTTTACATCAAAATTACAATCAAGTCTTCTAATTAACACGATGAAAGCTCCAGATGAATTGTCTTTTAATGGTGGAGGCACTATAGGTTCACAGGCATTCTCTGGTTTTGAATTAATCAAAAAGCCCTGGAAAAGAATTAGCAATACATTATCTCTCTTACACTCAATGAATTAATTTAAGCCACTTACCTCTACAAGCATCTTTCTGATTTGTTTCATATGTTTTGCATTACGCTTGATGTATTATCTGGCAAGTATAATTGCTTCCGATCTCAGAAGTTCTCAAGCTCATAAGCATTCAGTTTTTGTTTTTGTTTTGTTTGTTTGTGACAGAGTTTCACTTTGTCACCCTTGGTAAAGTACCATGGCATCACAGCTCACAGCAACCTCAAACTCTTGGGGTTGAACAATCCCCTTGCCTCAGCCTCCTGAGTAGCTGGGATACAGAGGCCCACCAGAACACCCGGCTATGTTTTAGAGACGAGGTCTCACTTTGGCTCAGGCTGGTCTTGAACTCGTGAGCTCAAGCAATCCACAGGCCTTGGCTTCCCAGTATGCTAGGATTACAGGTATGAACCACCGCACCTGGCCAGCATTGTTTTTTTAAAATAGTTTGTCTTTCTTGAATTAAAGTTTTTTTTGTAAAAAATCACACATAAGACAATCACCACAAGGCAACTACTGTTAACATGATGGTATATTTTGCAGTAATATTTGACATTTCTAAACCAAGGAAATGACTTTTAAAAATTAACTTTTAACTTTCTTTCATGTTATCAAATAATAAAAGTGCACATAACAAATAAATTTCTAGGAATTTATTCTACAGAAACACTAGCTTAAACATATAAAATATAAATGGGAAGATGGACACTGCTATATTGTTTTTAATAACAAAAACTAAAAGTCATGTATGTAGCAATTTGCAATTGTTATTAATAGCAAAAACTAAAAGTCCAGTAATGCAGCAATTTAAAAATTATAGTATATTCCTAAAACAGAAAAATAATGCAGCCACTAAAAGAAATGAGGTAGATCTATTTACACTAAATTGATGACATGTCCATGAGATAACTATAAATTTAAAAAGAAAATATCAAGTTGCATTCCCAGGAATGAGGGATGATTTGACAACAGAAAGTACATTAATATAAAATGTTATATGAATGAATATATTAAAAGAGAAAAGCCAAATGATTATCTCAACAGATGGAAAAATATGAATAAACACATAAAAAGATGACCAAATTTATTTATAAAAAGAAATGAGCAACTAAAGCTATGGCGCGATGCCTTAACAACAATTCTGCTTGGTGCCTGAATTGGTCACACACACCAACCATCTATCTATTCTGCAGGGTTTGGCAATTTCTCCTGCCTTGGACTACACAGGCTGGCCTGTGAGAGGGAATATTTCTGCATGTATTCTGTGTATAAGATGCATCACTCCTTCATTTACTCATAGAATAGTTCCTCTTTTTCATCCCTTAAAACACTTGGTTCTTACTTGGAAAGGAAATAAAACTGTAGTCAGTCTTCCAACAACAAGTTTTTCTTTCCCTCTTGTTAAATTTACTCCCTGTTCTCTCTTCTGTGCCCTTCTGCATACACTAACTTTCTTCTTTAAGGCCAAATCACATAGTGCAAGGAATCTTTTTCAACATGCTCATAACAGCAATTAAACTCAACCCATATGGTATCAGATGGCATATGTCTACGATCAAATTTCCTATGTCTAAGTGATGATAACTCCATCATGAATGCCCCCTGGCTGATAGCAATTTAAAGACACATCCCAATTTCAGAGATGTTAAAGTGTGGGGTAATAAAATGTGCTGTAGAATCAATGAGATATGATATGTATACAGACACAAAAAAGGGTCTGCAAGCGAAACGAAAAAAGGATTTTTGCTTTTTAATCATTTCTGTATTGATAATGAACATGTATTATTTTTAAACTTTAGAAAATTTATAAAAAATGAAGTGCACATAAGTTAAAAGTAAAAAAAAAAATCCTTTTTGTCTTAATGGAAAATTGAGTAAAACCTTTAAACAAAGTTCTTAAAGTATTAAATATTATCTTCCCTGTGGATTATGCTAAAAACCACTTACAAAAATAGTTTACTAATTCCTATCTTTTCTTCAGAGTTACTTAAAACTAAGTATAAAGTTTCATCCATAAAGTCTACCAGTGGATAAGGAACTTTGCTGATTTGACAGAATTCTCTGGTCCCTAAATTAAGAGTGGCCAAGGAGGTGCGTGCACAGTGTCACCCTCCGGGGCCAAACCTTTCTTATTAAACGATTACCTGTTCTGCAATCAAGTATCCTCTCCATCTCTATCTCTGACAGGGCATTTCATGCTAATATGCAGAAGGCCTAAAAAACCACCAATGCCCAGGAAGCCCAAACCTAGATGATCACCTTTCTTCTCTTTTTTGTTGCAACCTTTTGAGAATTAAATAGAGATGCTGGGAAATAGTAGTACATATCAACTGGCATCTCAGTATCATCAAATACATAATTAAATCTATAATGCCAGGGGTTACAATGTACAAATGCATTGCTTGGGAAAAAAACAAAAGCTTTTAGGACTGTAATATACATCAATCAAAGTGCAAAAAAAATCCACAATTTTCAGTTTGATGAGCTGTCAGTCATTAAACTAACAGCACTCGACAAGCTCCCTCCATCCTTCCTGCCAGTCAGTAGTCCCCAACGTCATCCCCAGTGACACTACAGAACTGTTAATGGGTTAGATTTCCTTCTGCCTAATTTTAGACTTCACAAAAACCATACAAAATAATAAATGCTCTTTTCTACCTCTTTCTCTCAGTACTGTATTTGTGAGATTCATCTTTGCTGTTGAGCATCTACACTGCAGAGATACACTTTGTAAATCTTTCAGTTTCGTTTCTACATAGTATTCCAATGTGGACAGTTTATTCTACTGGTCTTAAGCATTTGGGTGATTTCAAGCTGGTGGCTATTACAAATACAGTAGAATCTCTGTAAGCTGACTACCCCAGGGACTTCAACAAACTGGTCCACATACAGAGGTGATCGCCATAAGGAATTAGGCCTACTGTACTGAAACGTACATGTGCTGCACGTCCGGTCTATGAAAACTAGATCAACTTAAGGAGGTAATCAATGTGGAGAGGTGGTCAACTCTGGAGGTTCTAGTATTACAATAAACGAGTCTTTCTGTGAACATATGTACACAGATCTATTAAACATCCACAGAAGTGGAATCACAAGACAAGGTGAGTCACACACTTACCAACTTTAATAAATACTACCAAGCAGTTTTCCAAAGTGGTTTGGGTTACTAATTATTATTATTATTTTTTGAAACTGGGTTTCAGTCTGTTACCTGTATAGTTCCTACAACATCAGACTTCTGGGTTCAAGCAATCCTGCCTCAGACCCTCAGCCCCCAAGTAGCTGGTGCTACAGGTAAGAACCACCATACCCAGCTAACTTTTCTATTTTTTGTAGAGATGGGGTCTCACTCTTGTTCAGGCTGGTCTCAAACGCCTGACCTCAAGCAATCCTCCCCCCTTGATCTCCCTAAGTGCTGGGATTTCAGGCATAAGCTGCACCTAGCTAAAGGTTACTAAATTTTAATTGCAATAGTTAAATCACCTAAACACAAAAAGCACAGTAAATATAATCTTGCTTTAATGCTTCAGAAGACATTTAGAACTATGTCATATTTCAGTCTAAATGTTATAGAGACAGTTATTTTTCTTAACAAATTACACTGGCTAATAAAGACAAAAAAAATTGATAAAGTGATCTTGTTTAAAAGATTTTTCTGGGCTGAAAACAGACTTTCCTTGCCTTGTGCTTACACTGACTGTCAACAAAAAAGCCAAAGGCAAGATAACAAAGCATCTTTCTTTTAGCAAAATATAAAAGTGCAAGGGAGAAAAGGAGGAGAAAAGTGGTTAATGTGTTTGTTAATGAGTATCTGAAATTATGAATTAATAATAACTATAGTAATAGCAAGAAGTTAACAAGTCTCGTATTTGCTGAGTCATGGCACTCAGCACTGTGCGTCAGGCATTATGCCCTTTAAATGTACTAATTCAGTCAATTTCTGCAATAACTTTGTGAGGTAGCGTCTATTAATATGACCCCCATTTTACAGATAAGGAAACTAAATCTCCAAAAGGTTAATTTGTATAAGGTTATACACAGCAGGCATGTGATCCCAGAAGTCTAACTCCAGACCCGGTGTTCTCAATGCTGTACTGCCTCCTAAATAAAAAAAAATTGGGCAATAAGTGGCAGGAAAGACACTAATGAAAATAAACAAGCCGAAAATTTGTCTAAAAGGCAATTGAAGCTGATCCTACAATTGAATACAAATACTTCAAATGATGATGGTGTCCACAGAATCTTTCTGTGTTTAACATGTGACCATAGACCAAAAAGAATTAAAATGATCAATCAGATTTTATCAACTACAGCTTTTCTAATGTGAGACAGCTGAATCTATATCAACAACTTAGTAGAATGCTAAAATATTGTCTTTTTCCTCTAACTTTTTTTATATTTTTAATTTTTAGACATTATATTTATATATATTTATGGGTACAATGTATGATGATCATGTCAAGGTATTTAGGATATCCATCACTTGAGTGTTTACTAGTTCTACATGTTTGGTACATTTTAAGTCCTCTCTCTTAGCTATTTTGACATACAGAATACTTATTTGTTAACAATTGTTACCTAACTCTGACATGAAACATTAGAACTTATTCCTTCTGACGAACTACATAATTATACCCATTAACGAGTATAATTACTCTCCTGATTTCTCCCTTCCCAACTGTTTCTAGAATCCATCAGTCTATTCTTCTACCTCCATGTGACCAACATTTTTTAGCTATTATATGTGAGAATGTATGATATTTGTCTTTTTGTGCCTGGCTTATTTCACTTAATATAATAACCACCAGTTCCAACTATGTTGTTGCAAATGATATGATTTCATTCTTTTTCATGGCCACATAATATTCCATTGTATATATGTACCAATTCTCTTTATTTAGTCATCCACTGATAGACACTTGGCTTGATTCTAAGTATCTTTGCTACTGTAAATTGGGCTA